AAAATGGGGGGTTTTTTACTGGGGGCCCCCGGGGGCTTTTAACAATGGAAAGTTGGAAAGAAAGGGGGGAAAAAGCCCCAAAAAATTCGGAACAAGCCCCCCCCCCGGGGGGACCTTAAACCCCCTTAAAACCTTGAAAGCCCTTGGTCCTTCCAAGTGAATCCTCCTCGCCAGGGGGGAAACTTTTTGGCCCCCCCCCCCCCCCCCTCACCCCCCAAGGTACACATCGCGTACGCCTCGGGCGGCGCCGGCTACGCCCTCTCCCGCCCGATGCTCGCCCGACTCTCCGAGACGATGCCGCAGTGCCACACGAGGCTCGGGCGGTAGTGATACCATGCGAGGACGTACTCTCCAGTACTCTCCGAGACGATCAGTGCCACGCGAGCTCAGCGAGCGAACATCCGCGACACGTCCACGACACGTCCACTGCACGCCCCGCAGGTACACGCGCTGGGCAGGCGACATCCGAGTCGGAAAGTGCGTCGACGACCTCGCAGCAGGACCGCTGCTGTCGAGTCGCGCGGCGCTCACGTCCTGCTGTGTGTGAGTCAGGTGCGTCAACGACTTGGGCGTGCGTGTGCGGGCCGAGGCGCCGTCCGGAGCGCGGCGTGCGTACCGCTCCACCCCTGCCCTAAGGTGGCGAGGCGAGGTGTTTGCGAGGGTAGGCTGGCTTCCTCCTCCCGTCGCACGACAATCAGATGAACTTGTTGTCCGCATCATTCGTGTGTTGTGATGACTAGGCTGGCTTCCACCACGAGTCGCACGACAAGTACGAGTGGGACAACACCGGCGGAGGCCACCCGTATGGACACCTCTCGCACAAGGCGCCTCCCTCCTCTCCTCCTCCTCCCCCCCTCCTCCCCTCCTCCCCTCCTCGCGACAGGTGCCAAACGTCTTCGACGGCGACGGCTGCGACGTGCCGCTGGCGGACACGCACCGCGCGCCGGCGCGCCAGGCGGCAGACGTGCGGTTGCAGTGCACGCCCTGCGCCTCTGCGATGGTTGGCTGGCCACCTGCAGCCGCCGCTCTCATACTCTACTATCTGATGGTACGTGATGTGATCTTAGGTTGGCGGCCACCTGCAGCCGCCGCTCTCATACTCTACTTATCTGATGGTATGTGATGTGATCTTAGGTTGGCGGCCACCTGCAGCCGCTGCTCTCATACTCTACTATCTGATGGTACGTGATGTGATCTTAGGTTGGCGGCCACCTGCAGCCGCCGCTCTCATACTCTACTTATCTGATGGTATGTGATGTGATCTTAGGTTGGCGGCCACCTGCAGCCGCTGCTCTCATACTCTACTATCTGATGGTATCTGATGTTTATTAGGTTGGCGGCCACCTGCAGCCGCCGCTCTCATACTCTACTATCTGATGGTACGTGATGTGATCTTAGGTTGGCGGCCACCTGCAGCCGCCGCTCTCATACTCTACTTATCTGATGGTATCTGATGTTTATTAGGTTGGCGGCCACCTGCAGCCGCTGCTCTCATACTCTACTTATCTGATGGTATGTGATGTGATCTTAGGTTGGCGGCCACCTGCAGCCGCCGCTCTCATACTCTACTATCTGATGGTATCTGATGTTTATTAGGTTGGCGGCCACTTGCAGCCGCTGCTCGGCCAGCTGTGCGACGTGCAGCGGAGAGACAGCTGCACCCTCGAGCTGGTGCCTAGACACTTCCTAGACACTTCCTAGACACTTCCTAGACACTTCCTAGACACTTCCTAGACAGCTGCACGCTCGAGCTGGTGCCCCTCTCGGCCGCCACCGCCCACCCCGCGCCCCTCCCCCTCTTGAGCGCCGCCCCGCTCCACCGCAGGTCGTCTCGCTTCCGTGCGCACCGCGCTGCGCCCGCCCTCCCCCCCGCCCGCCGCCCCCCCCCCCTGTCCCACGAGAGGGGGCTGCGTGTAGGTGCCCCGAGCCGCAGCTCGTCAAGGCGGTGGTCTTTGACCTCGGCACTGCACCCGGCGCCGAGCTCATCGCCGAGCCCTTTGAGGGGCGCCCCCCCCCCCCCAAACCCCCCAACCCTCACGCGCGGCCCGCTCGAGGCAGGCGCCGCCGACGTCGTCTCGATGGGCTCGGCCGCCTGCGACGGCCGCAGCGCCGTGCGGCTGCGTCGCGGCGTCCTGTCGCAAGACTCGCCTCTCGCCCTCCACCCCTCCGTCTCGCACGGCAGCGTGGACACCCTCCCCGCGACCGCCACCGCCGACGTGCCAGGCTGCCGCGCCCTCCTCGGAGGCAGCGTCGAGCTCTCCTCAGGCGTGCCGCCCCCGCTATCGGCCTCCCCCCCCCCCCCGCCGCCGCCCCACCCCTCCGCCCATTCCTCGCCACGCGCTCCCGCCCCTCGTCTCCCGCAGGCGGCCGCCTCGCGCGCGGTAGAAGCAACTTGCCGCCCCTCACCCTCGCCTGCGACTGCGACGCCGCCCTCGTGCCGCCCTCCGCGAGGGCAGCCGCGCCGCAGGGGGGGAGCCTCGCCGCCGCCGCCGCACCGCCGCTCCGCGCCGACGGAGTGGCCGGCGGAGGGGGCGCGGTGGGCGTCAATTTGACGCTCACCCTCGGCCTGGCCGACTTCACCTCGCCCACTATTGCCGTCGCTGCGGCGTGCCCTCTTGTACATCGAGCTGCCGCGCGGCTGCGCTAGGCGCCTCACCTTCCCCTCCCCTCTCCTCGCGCCCCTTCCTCCCCTTCGCGATGAGCGCCTCGCGTCGCGGGAGCGACCGACAACTTCAGAACGACGGCGGCGGCTGCAGCGGCGTTGCCCAGGGTGCGAGGCCGCCACCGCACATGAAGCCGGGATTTGTATTGTGCGCGGCGCGCGGGCTCATGCGTCATGAACGATCTGGAGGACATGGACACGGCCAGCGCGGCAGCGCCCGTGTGCCGTGACCCGCACACCTGGCCCCTTGTCTGGTGTGAGACTTCATTGCACACAGCGAGATTTTTGTAATTGGGGAGAATATGGCTGCGCTGCACTTCACATATGTCTCGGCCTCCAAGTGCTCCACAGAGAGCTCAGCCACAGAGGTCAGGGAGAGGTTTCCCTGCCGGCAGACCAGGGGAACCCCGCGCGCCCCGCCGGCGGCAAAGACAAAAGATAGAGAGCCGGAGAGAGCGGCGAGGTCTCACGGTGCACACGTCACCCCGCTCGCCGGTGGTCAGAGGAGCACGTGCTCTCATGGGCGGCATCATGGAGAGGCGTGTGATAGCTGTGAGACAGAGCTGCAGGTGATCGCGAGCAGGTGACACATACATCGTGTATACGCGCGGCGTGCGTGTGTGCAGCGCACCTCTAGTTGTGGTCTCACCCCGACAGAACGGAGACGGTGCTCAAGCGCGCTCGTCTTTCAGCCTGCGGTGGTGCTCCTCGAAGCCCGAAGCCTTTTGGGGTTGCCGCGCGAGCCTGCCTGGCCGCAGCCCCCCCCCTCCCTCTGAAAGTGCGTGCTGAGAGTGACAAGGGTCGAGAGCTCGCTCGAGAGGCGGCCGGGGCTGCTCGACGAGCCGCCGGCCAGCAGCATCTGCTGCAATGTCGCCACGAAGGGCGGCGGCGGCGGCGGCGGCGCGGGCGCGGGCGCGGGCGCGGGTGCGGGTAGTACGGGTGCGGCTGGCGGCGCTGGCGTGTCTTCGGCTGTCGAGAGCCCCGCCGCCTGCGGCGCGAGAGGCGTCTGTGCTTGGGGGGAAAGCCTGCAGCGGGCGGGACTGGGTCGAAACTCACCTCTAATCTGCGGCGCAGCCCGGCGTTCTCAGATCTGAGCTTCTCCACCTCCAAGTGAAGTAGTTCGAGCTGCTCCTTCTTTCTGTCCCGTGAGGCGGCGGCGGCCTTCCGGTTGCGGGCCTTCCTCTGGGCCTTGCGTGCGTCCACGTCGTCTGAAGAGGACGACCCGACGACGAACGCGAGTGAGCCCAGTTGCCACGACGGGCTTCCGTCGGGCTGCGCCGGCAACATACGCCTGTTGAGACATGAGCTGGCAACGAGACGCTGCTCCGTGCGGGCAAAATAAAGGTACATTTTTTTCTCGGTCACCGCGACTCCACCTATGAGAGTGGGCGTTCCCTGCCTCAGGCTACTGCATATACACCTGAGCTAGGGCCTGAGAGGCCTCGCTGGAGCCGAGCGAGGCATAGCGGCGTAATTTCGACCTACACCCTGCTCCCCCATCTTATCCCACACTAGTCCCTACTCCGCTGTTGCTAGGGTTGCGCGAGCTGTCTCCGAAGCTGTCACAGCTAGGGTTGCTTGCAAGTAACAAAACCTCGAAAGCCAATCATCCACCACCCGGAAAGTGGCCGCCCTCCCCTCCAGAGCGCCGCCGCCGCCACCGCCACGCTGACCGCCACTGGACTGTCCGCCGGCGGCGAGGCTCCGAGGCATACGCTCTGTCCTCTGAGGCCGTAGAATACAAGTGACGGCTGCATCTATCTCTTTGCGCGCGGGTCAAAAATGCTGGGTCAAGTGTACCCCTGCCTCCCCTTGAAGCTTGATCGTCCTAGGCGGGCTTCTCTCCACAGGACCCTCTGACTTTGTGACTTAAGGTTCTTCGGGCCCCTTTAGGGAGGCAAACCCTGGCCGGGGCGACGTCCCGACACGGCAGGTTGGAGCTGACCCCGGGAGAGAGAGAGACGAGCGATGGCACGCCCCCAATGACCCTAGACAGACATGACGAGCCGACAGCGATGCAGCGGCAGCGAAGGCGGCGAGGAGAGCCCGCGCTGCAGAGCTCCGCCGGGCGGCAGCAGAGACATCGGCGGACGGGGGAGCACGGGACACGTCGGCATAGGAGCCAGGGGGGTGGGAGAGTTGAGTCAGGTGCAGCAGCACCGTCTCGGCAGCGAGGCCGACGATGGCGACGGCGGCGACGTAGGCGAGACGGTGGCGAGGGTGGCGACGGTCACGATGAAGGTGGCTTGACGAAATGGATGACGCCATCGCGCAACATGACATCCTCGATGTCGTCGTCCTCTAGGCGGCGCGCAGCGCCGCTCTCGCAGGCTGTTTTTGACGGTTTCTACACTTTGTTTTTGTTTTCAGTCTAGGGGGCCCGACCCCCTCAGAGGCGGCGGGCGGGCGCCCACTTACCGAGAGATCAAAAACGCTCGGCCTCGGTCGTCATCCGTTACACGCCGGGGCGCCATTTAAGGTAGAGCCAAAGAGCGGAGACTCTCAAAGAGGGGGGTGGGTGGGGTGGGAAGGTGGTGGGCTTTGCTGAGGTAGTAGACTCTAGAAACGTAGACAAGAGACAGGTAGGAAAACGGTGTCCGCCACCCTGCAGTGCGGGCAGGGCCGGACGCAACAAAATCGCTCTCGCAAAATCGCACTCTTGCCAGGGCGGTGCTGCCGCTTCCCGAGCGGCTCTGGGAAGCGGCGCACTCTTGTAAGCCCGGCGGTGCGCAGCGGAGCGTGCCGGCAAAAGGATCGGGGGGCGGGGGGGAGGGGGACACGTCAAGATGGAAGCGCCCGCACTATTGACGCGGCAGCGAGAAGGGAGCCGGAGAGGATGAAGCCGGACCTGGGCCGCCGCTCGGCGACGGCGGCGGCGCGGGCACCGCCGCCACGTGCGTGTGCGGCCGTGGCCCGAAATCCAGGCTTGATTCCAGCCTTGGACGCAGTCAGGAGCGAGGGTTTTCCCACCGCGAGGCGTGGGGACCTGGTACAAAAGGGGGAGCGTTTTGGGGCTTGACAGCAAGCTGGCGCGCGGCCTGGCGGCGTACCTGCAGCGGAAAGGGCGTGGGAGAGCCGTGTCGTGTCGCGTGTGGTGGGCAGGTGCGAAGATGAGGCTTTCATAGTTGCGGGGTGGTCTTGCACCTCATCCGCGTCCGCGAGGTGCAGATCGAGGAGCACTCTGACCATCGAGACGCCCGCGCGGCCTGGCGCGCGACCCATCACGAAGATCTCCGTGCTCATCTCGAGGCCCAGGCGCCTAGCGGGCGCGCGAGCGACGTGCGCCCGCGCCTTCCCCGCGCCTTCCGCGCCTTCCGCCTTCCGCCGTCGTTTGTTTTGGCGATGCAAGGGATAAGGGATACTGATGCGTTTGTCGGCGTTTTTCTTCTTAAGCTTGAATTCTTTTGCTTTTTTTGGTGATTTCCCCCTTCCATCCCACCAGTGAATGTCTTTTATTCGCATCACTTCCAGTGGGCAGACCGGCCATGGCTGCTGCCGCCCGCAAAGCCGGAGAGACTTGTCTCCTGGGTGCGCGTGCTGCACGCCGTGTGCAGACGTCGGCAGGAGCCGCCGCGGCGGGACATGGCAGCGCCGCCGCCGCCGCCGCCGCCGCCGCCGCCGCCGCCGCCGCTGTGCGCCTCGAGCGCCTCGTCCGACAGACCGACGGGCGGCGGGGCGGAGAGGATGTGAGGGCAGCGGACGCAGACGCCGTGGAAGCCGCCAGAGAGCACGTACCTGTCGCGCGGGGCCGCAGAAGTGAGCGCCTCTGGCCGAGCAGCCCCCCTCCCTCTCCGTCGGGAAGGGGTTGGAGGCGCGCACGTGTTTTCTATCCCCCGCTGCACAAAGGCGTTGGCCGCCTCGTCGAGACCCTTGCCGTCGGCATCGTAGAGGACGATGAGCTTGTCGCCGCCCGCCGGGCCGCGGAAGAAGTAGAGCTCCTTTGGGAAGTGGTTTGTCGAGTGCGATAGCTGCGCCAGGTCGTAGTGCCTCGCCCCGCGCACGTGCGAGTCCGAGTACTGCTCAAAGGAGCGGCAGTCGAGGCAGAGAACGCTCGCGCCGGCGGCCGCCGCGGCGATGGACGCCGATGTCGACGCGTCGGCCGCGTGCGAGACGATGGAGGCGGCGACCGACGCGCCCCCGAGCGACATGGCGGCCGACGCCTCGTCGAGGTCGTAAGCGTAGATCGACTCCTCGCACTCGATGTCGGGCGCGAGCCGCCGCTCCAGATCGAGCGGCTTGATGCGCCGGAAGTAGGTGTGCGTCTGCTTTGCCCGTGCATTGGGGCCGCTCGTCCCCTCGTACTTCTCCATCAGCTTGCGCATGTTGCTGCCCGTGTCCACACGGGGCTTGAGGTGGGCGAAGCGAGGGTCGGGCGCCCGGCTGCGGCGGCTGACGGTCGAGCCGGTCGTGCTCATCGCGCGGCCAACGGGCGAGCCCACCCCGGCAGGCATCGCGTGCGGGTGCCGCGCGCGTATATGCGCGCACAGCGTACGGACCAAAAGGGCGATAACGGCCGTTGCGATGAAGCGTTCACGACAGCGTCCCCGGGGGGTTTACGCTTGTCGGTGTGAGACAAGTCAAGTCCTGCGCGAGCGCGGGTGGCCCCCTCCCCGCCCTTGGGCTTGGCCGCCGGGCGGACGACCGGACCGCGGCTTGGCGCGGCGAGCGAGGCCGACCACGGGGATGGGGGCCGGTGAGGATGGATAGCGTTCGTGTTGTTGGGCTCATGAACGGGAGGGCGGCACCCCCCGGTGGCGCTCCGGCCGGTGTGCGCTTGGGCACGTGGAGTTGGATTCGGGTACTTTGCTGGTATGGTATCTGTGAATAAGTGGAGTATTTACTTTCACACCCCTTGGGGTGTTCACGACCACTTGCGGTCATTACGCACTTGTGCGTTCACGCCCCTTGCGGCGATCGTTTCACAGTCTCATCAACCGTTCAAGGAAACTAAAATACGCCAACCCCCCTCTCAAGGAACTCCGGACGACGCCAGCCCTCTTGTGGCTTCGACGCACACGCTACTTCAGCCACAGAGTCTAGGACAGGTCCATTAAGACTTTTCAGTCGTGGGGGTGGCTTTTGTTATTCCTTTCCGGTTAGACACGGCCGAGCGGGCCACAGCAGAACGATGCCGCCGTGGCCAAGGCGGCGCGCGCTGCGATCGCCGATGACGAGGTTCTCGACAATTGGGCGATTATATCCATAAGGGATTTCATCCCTTTTGATTGGAGATTCGTGTTTCGGTTTTGGTAAAATGTATTACAGCACTCTCTGACGCGATGCGGCCTCTGCCTAGCCTCCTGCTCCTTTGCGGGAGCTATGGCGGGACCGCTATCGAGTACTCAGTGCCGACATACCCTCAGTATCCAGAATAGTTTAAGTCTGAAAAAGTCGGTCCGACCGCGCAAAGCGGTCTGGCTGTCTGCAGAGCTTCCGTCCGAGCCCTGAGAAATGTGAGGCATGACGGCCCATGTTCGCGATTTTGATGGCGTTGCCCTTATTGCACGTGAAACAGACCGCGCCGGCCAGGCACCCTTGTTCCCGGAGGCCAACTCGAACAGGTTTGAGCAAAAGGCCGCCTTCCATGCTCGATATGCAGCAGGAGCTTAGTTGACCCTGCTCGAAGGCCGCCCTGCTCGAAGGCCGCCCTGCTCTCGGTATTGTGTTGTTGACTGATAGCACTGTCTGATCCAACCAGAAAGAGCCGTCGAGCTACATGAGACCCAAGTCGTCGTGATGTACCAGGAAACGAAACTAGCGCCAAAATTGAGATCTCAGGATTGACATCAATTTCTCGCGCCTACTTTCGCTGCTTGAGACTCGCCAAACAGATCCTGCGTCTATGGCCGTGTGCGACGTCAAGTCGTTAACCGCGACAAGACCATCGCGCCAACCGCGACTCTGTTGCTTTTATGCGGCAGCATTCACCGTGACTCTTGCCGTGGATAGTTAGTGACCGCGGTTGCTTACAACTGTACGCATTACTACGCCATAAGCTGAGCTTCACCAGCCGTTTCTCTTCTCCTTCCCTTGCTGATTCCCTTGCCTTCTCTTGCCGTCCGTTCTCTGTGCGCATTCCACTGCATGCGGCATCACAAGCGTCTTCTGCCGGGCGCGCATCTGAACTCGTACCTGGTAGGCCATCGCTTTGCTGAAAGATCAGGCGCCTGAATGGCGACAGTGAGCGTCTCCTACTTATGGATTGCGCTCGAGGTACAAGGAGCGCAAGAGCGCGCCGCAGGCGATTTTTTGGCGGCAGGGCTGTTCCAATTCATCTTGTTGTAAGTCTATTGTTGAAATTAGTGATCTCGCGCGAGGCGCCGGGGGCCCCCCAACTAAGGGTTGACGTACCTCAACCCCCAGGGTGTAGAGCTCTACGCGAGCTCTGAAGCATTCTCTACCCCTGCCCCCGGCCATGGCTCTGCTCGGCGCGCGTGGCCTGATTGCGGCTCACGCGATCGTAGCCGACGTGCTGCTCCTCTATGGTGGGCTGGACCGTCTCAGCCTGCCTCAGTGGCTTGAGGAGTGCCGCCCCTCCGCCGAGGCCGGCTGGCTCTTCCTCTCCTTCTGCTGCATCACGCTCGGCTACGAGGAGCTGCTCACCGTGTCGGCTGGCTGGCTTGGGCCGGCCGTTATCACCACCTCTCCGCCGGTCGACACTGCCTTCGCGCCGATGGACGCCGTCAGTGTCGCTTCCGCGTCCTCATTCGCCTCGCTCGCGACTATCAACTTCATCGCCTGCCTCCTCTCTACCTCGGCGGATCGCCGGCGGCTGTCGGCGCTCGGCATGGCTATCGCGGCGATGGCGTGCGTCGCGTACTGGTCCCTCGCGGACGGCGTCGGGGTCCTCTCGACGTATGGGAGGCCGTTCTCGCCACTGCGATACGTACTGTGGGCGCACACGACACCCGGCCTCGCCCTCATCTCGGGCAGCAGCCACTCCGCCTCCGAGGCGGGGCGGCGACTGCACCGCAATATCGTCAGCATCATGATGACCGGCTTTCTCGCCACGGCGGCGGTGCCGGAGCCCGTCGCGAGGCTCGGAGTCGCCGCGCTGTGGGCTTGGCGCATCGGCTGGCTTGGCGCGAGCTTTGCTTACATGTTCCTCTCTCTGCGGCGCGTGTGTGCAAACATCTTGAGACAGGCGACGCACCCGCTCACGGGCCAACTCATCAGCACGCTGACGGCCCTCTCGTGGAGCTTCTTCCCCGCCCTCTGGCTCGCCTCCCAGACGGACCTGCTCTCGCAGCCGGCAGAGCTCACGCTCCTCGCGCTCGCGGACTTTTGCGCAAAGATGCTCTCCTCCGTCTCGCTGCTGCTGCACGCCGCCGAGAGCCACAGCCAGCTGGAGCGACTGCAGCTCTCGCAGCGCCTCGAGCGGGAGCAGATCCGCGCCGACGCGCTGCGCACCTTCGCGCGCACGATGGGCCACGACCTGCGCACGCCGCTGCAGGCCCCCCCCCCCCCCCCCCCCTCAACACCCACTCCACCCCCCAACCGACCCCCCCTCGCGCCTCCGCCGCGCAGGTCGTCTCCAACATGTGGGAGCTCGACCAGGCGGGCGGACACTTCCCAGACACTTCCCAGACACTTCCCAGACACTTTCCAGACACTTCCCAGACACTTTCCAGACACTTCCCAGACACTTTCCAGACACTTTCCAGACACTTTCCAGACATGTGGGCGCTCGGCCAGGCGGGCGAGGGCAAGCAGCAGGCGGGCGGAGGCAACGAGGCGCTGCTGATGCCCTCCTTCGCCGAGGAGGAGGTGGACCTGGTCTCAGAGATCGAGCGTACCGTCGGGCTGCTGCTCGCCTCGCCGACCGCAAAGGCGGAGGTCAAGCTCAAGTCGTGCTTCGACCCCCGCCTGCCGCATGTGCGCCTCGCAACTTTCTAGACACTTCCTAGACACTTCCTAGACACTTCCTAGACACTTCCTATTCGACCCCCGCCTGCCGCATGTGTGCGCCTCGCAACGTCCATCACACCATCCCTCCATCACACCATCCCCCCTCCATCACACCACCTCGCGGCGGTCGCTGGGAGCCTTCCGTGAGCCTTCCAGGGCCCGTCTGGTAGGTGCGAGTCGACGCCTCGCGGCTGATGCGCGCCCTGCTCAACCTCCTCACAAACGCGATCAAGTTCACCACCTCGGGCGCGAGCGGCGTCCTGGGCGGGGGCTTGTGTGGAGAAGCGCCCCTCACACACGCCCCCGCCTGCGAGCAGGCTCGGTCACGATCTCGGTCAAGCTGCTCAGCGAGCCACCTCCCGTCGGAGGGCTGTGCGAGGCGCACTTCGAGGTCGCAGACACCGGCCGGGGCGCGCAAGCTCGGCTCCAACCGGCCGGCGCAGCGGCGCCCTCCCGAGCCAACCCCCGCCGCCCGTCTGCGCCGCCCGCAGGGATGGAGGCCGAGGAGCTGCAGCGGGCAACGCACCCGTACTCGCGCTCCTCGACGGCGGAGGGCGGCGGGATGGGGCTCGGGCTCGCCATCGCCGCGAAGGCGGTCGCCCCGCGCGGCGAGCGGGCGGCGCGGGGACGGCGCGTCCTGACTGCTGCAGCTGTGAGCAGGCGGTGGCCGAGCTCGGCGGCAAGCTCGAGCTGCGCAGCGAGGGCCTCGGCTGCGGCACGAGCTGCTCCTTCTCCGTGCGGATGCAGCGGGGCGGCTCGACCTGCTCCGGCTCGCGCGGCTCGTCCGAGTCGCTCGAGGTGAGCCCGCCGGCCGCGGGGCGCCGCTTGCGCGTGATGCTTGTCGACGACTCCGAGCTGCTGCTGAAGAGCGTGTCGGAGGTGATCGCCTATTTCGGGCACACGATCTCGCACACCGCCGCCGACGGGGAGGCTGCGCTGCAGCTGCTGCGCGCCCACTCGCACGAGATCGACGTCGCCTTCGTCGACATCAACATGCCCCTCATGCGCGGCGACGAGGCGATCCGGAGGCGCCGCCCGCGGGAGCTGCTGCCCCGCCCACCCTCCCCGCGGGCTCCCCTGACGCCCCGCCCGAGGCGCGCGCAGGTACCGCGAGTGGGAGCGAGGCCACGCGCGGCCGCGGTTGCGCGCGTATGCGATGAGCGGGGACACGAACGCCGCGATGACCAAGCAGCTCCGCGTGGACGGCTTCGACGGGATCCTCGCCAAGCCCGTCTACCCGCTCGCCTTCTCCCGGATATGCGAGGAGGTGTTTGCGGCGCTGCCCGCCGCGGGAGCCGCGCCGCCGCCCGCCTCGCCCCCGCGGGTCGTGCCAGCCACCCTCTCCGAGGCCCTGCGAGGCGTGCCAGCCACCCTCTCCGAGGCCGTCGGCCGCGGCGCAGCCGCGCGCGCACCCGCCACCGGCCTGGCCGCCGCGCCCGCCGCGCCCGCCGCGGGCTCCTCCACGCTCGCCTCTGGCTCTGCGAGCGGGTCGGCGAGCGGGGCTGCGAGCGGGGCGGCTTGTGAGACGGAGGCGGAGATGCTCGCCGCGCTGCCCGACTCGGTCTTCAACGCGCGCGACTTTGTGGCGGTGTTTGGCATCCCGATGGACATCGCGGCCGCGCTGGTGGCTCAGATGGACCTCTCCCTGGGCAGGGGCATGGAGAGCATGGTCGAGGCGGAGGGGGCGCCGTGGGACGAGGCCGGCACGCAGAGCGTCATGGGAATCGCTCACACCGCCAAGGGGAACGCGCTGCAGGTGTGCGCCTCGCGCCTGGCTGCCGCCTCGGAGACGCTCGAGATCCTTGCGGCGGGCGGCAAGAGCGAGCGCGCGAGCGCCGCCCTGGCGGTGTGGCGCAAGACGGCCGAGGAGTTCCGCCACTTTGTCAGATGCAACCCCACGCTCGAGGACCTCTTGGAATGAGCGCCGGGCGTGTGCATCGTGCCCCGCCCTGCGGATTGTACACAATGCTACACACAGCCGGCCAGGGAGCGGGGTGCAGGCTGCAGGGTTGGAACGGCGGGCAAGCAGCAAGCTGGCGTCCGAGCCGCACCGTGTGCGGTAGGTAGACATTCTACCTCCCATCCAACCCACCGAAACCCGTGTGAATGGATCGTCCGTTACATTGGGTTTAGCGTCGCGTTCTCTCAGCGTGGTCTATGGTTTGCTAGACCCATGAGACCAGCCACGCCGCGCCCTCGGGCGCCTCCACCGCCGCCCTCAGCCACGCCGCTAGGACCGACGGAGACGTCAACTCCGCCGTCACATGGTATCACCTATCAGCTCTGGTCCTCGCGGCCCAGCGCCAGCGCCCAGCCCAACACGCCAATCCCGAACCGCAGGCTCAACGCCTGCCGAGCGGCCGCCGCCACCACAGCTCGAGCTGCGGCCGCCACCGCAGCAGCTGTGGACGCCGCCGCCCGTGTCTTCGAACACGCCCACGCATTCCACCTGTCTCTTTGTTGCGTACATGGTACACATGTATTTCTTTCGTAGATCGGTAGGACTCTAGGCCCCGCCCCTCTTCAGAGTAAGTAAGAAATCCCGCCCCACACCGCCCTGCCGCCTGCCGGTCAACCACCGGCGCGGAACACCCACGTGGCGATTGCTCTCACTGTCTCAACAGTCCTCAAGCCCACTCTCTGCGCTGTCTGAGAGATGCCTCGCACACTCTATATGCAAGACAACACGCCGACAAGTCTTGTGGCGCACTGTCCCCCCACGATCAGCCACGATCCCGCCAGTGCGGGACAGTACAGTTCCCGCAGCGCGGCGGTCCCGCGCCTCGAGCTCGGGTCACGCCCGAGCAGCGCTGCCCCGCCCCTAGCCCCTCCCCCAACCTCAAAATGCGCCACCGCCCACCATACGTTCGGCTGTGTGAGCAGCTCCCGGCGGGACCTCGAGGGACTGCACGCGCGCCCGCGCGGCGCGGGGCCCAGCCCACAGCCACGATCGTTCACGAGAGAACGCACCCCAGAGTACGAGAGACCCTTCCCCATGGCTGCCACTGCGCCAGCTGTCCTTGCGCGCGGGCTAGGCCGCCTCCCGCGCCCTGGCCCTCGCAGCGGCACCTGACGCGCGCCTCGCCTTGGCTGCGGCGAGCGCCGCCTCTGCCGCCGCGATCGCCGCCTCCTCCGCCTCCTCCTCCGCTGCGGCAGCCTCCTCCTCCTCTGCCGCTGCCACGGCCGCAGCCTCCGCCGCAGCCTGCCGGCGCGCCTCCGCTGCCGCCTCCGTTGCCGCCTCCTCGCCCTCCTCCTCGCCCTCCTCCTCGCCCTCCTCCTCGCCCTCCTCCTCGGCTGCCTCTGCCGTCTCCTCCTCGCCCTCCTCCTCGCTCGCCTCGCCCGCCGCCTCTCCCAGCGCCTCCGCCAATCCCTCGACCGACGTCTCCGGCGTGATGCCGAACCGGATCCTGTCCTCGTGGAGCTCCGCGAGAAGCCGGAGCAGCCCCTCACTGTCCAACGGCGCGGGCTTGGCTGCGGCTGCCTCTGCCGGCGGATCGGACTCCTGCGACGGCCCAGCGCCGCCCGCCCCGCCGCCCTTCTTCTTCTTCTTGCCCTTCTTGCCCTTGGCGCGCTTCTCCGCCTCGACCTCCGCCAGCAGCTCGTCGGCGTGCCGCGCCGCCTCCTTCTCCGCCGCCGCCCTCTGCGCCTCCCTCTCTGCCGCGCCCGCAGCCCACGCCGCCTCCTTCGCCGCCTTCTCCGCCGCCTTCTCGGCCGCCGCGTGCTCCTCGAGGGCGCGCACGCACTCGGCGTGTCCCTTCGCCTTGGCACATTGCAGCGCGGTCTTGCCCTTCTTAGAGCACAGCGTTTGATCTGCGCCCGCCCGCAGCAGCTGACGCACGACGGCGGGGTGGCCGAGCAAGGCGCCAAACATCAGCGCGGTGTCGCCATGGTTGGCCTGCAGGTTGATCTCTGCGCCGTGCCGGACCAGCAAGTCGACCACCCGCTCGTAGCCTTTGAAGGCGGCGTCCATCAGCGCAGTGACGCCGATCGTGCTTCTCTGATCGATCTCCGCGCCGTGCCGCAAAGCCAGCTCGACCATCTCCTCGCGGCCGTTCGCGGCGGCGAGGCTCAGCGCGGTGCCACCGTCGCTCTTCTGCAACGAGACATCCGCACCGCGCCGCAGAAGCGCCTCGGCCAGCCCCTCGTGGTCATAGGACATTGCGAACATCAGCAGTGTCACGCCGCTCGCACGAGTGCCGCAAGTAAAGGTGTACTCGAACCTCATATCGACCCACCCGCCGCCATCGAGCCACGCCAGCACCGGAAATCCGTCGCCTCGCCCAGCCGCTAGCACGACCTCCTCTGGCACCGCCTCGCTGGCCGGCTCGGCCTCTGCGCCGCCCACGCCGATCAAAGCAGAGGCCGCGGCACTGGCGCCCGCCGCCGCCTCGCCTGCGGGTGCGTCTCCCGCCCCTGCGCCACCCGCCTCGGCCGACGGCGCCTTGCTCCGAGCCGCCATTACCTCCCCGAGATACGTCCTGAAAGCCTCGAAGCACTCGGCGTGGCCCTCCTCCTTGGCGTACTGCAGCGCCGTCTCACCCTCCATAGAGCGCAGCGTCATGTCTGCGCCCGCCCGCAGCAAGCGGAGCACCACGGCGGGATGGTTGCCGAGGGCGGCGAACATCAGAGCGGTGCCGCCCTTGTTGGCCTGCAGGTTGATCTCTGCGCCGAGCCGGATCAGCGTGTCTACAACCCGCTCGTGGCCTTTGTAGGCGGCGTCCTTCAGCGCCGTACAGCCTCCGTTGTCTCGCGCGTTCACCCCTGCGCCGTGCCACAGCAGCATCTCGGCCACGCGCTCGTGGCCTTTGGCGGCGGCGACCATCAGCGCCGTACAGCCTTCGCTGTCTCGCGCGTCCGCCTCCGCGCCGCGCATCAGCAGCAGTTCGACAATCTCTTTGTGACCGTGTTCGGCGGCGATCAGCAGGAGCGTACAGCCGCTCACACCGCGATGCACGCACGTCGCGTCAACCCGCCCATCCCCGGCGAGCCACGTCTGCACCACGCCGACCTTGCCGTTCTCCGCCGCCGCCTCGATCCTTTTCGGCAGCGCGAGCGGCGCAGCAGTAGCCGCCGTTGACGCGTGCCCGCGCCGGGAGCCGGCCGAGCCAGCCTTCGTCCGGCCGGGCATGCAAACGGGCGGGGTTGCGGATGCTGAGCGCCTCCTCCCTCTCTCTCCTCCCTCTCGGGCTGCCTCCCGGCGCTGGCGTGGGGCTTCGAAAAAAGAATTCGCGGGCCGAGGGAGTTTTAAAAATAAAAAGAGGAGGAAGAAAATAAAAGAAATCGTCGCTGGCTTGAGGTGCTCGATGCTCGTCGGCTTCACGCTAGCTAGGAGCCCTCTGCTCCTCTCGCTGAGCATGACGTCAGAGGCCCGGAACCGACAGACCTACCTTCGCGCGTCGGCGGCAGTGATCTGGGACGTCGACGGCACCCTGGTGGAGTCAACCACCCTGGGATTCACCGCAACGAACGAAGTGCTTTCAACAAGCGGATACCGGATGGTGACCGAGGATGAGTACAAGCTAGGATGCCGCTTCACCACCCCAGATCGCTTCAACTACCACATCGAGCGGCCCGCCGGATCCGCTGAGGGTGTGCGACACTCAGTGCCGGCCTCGACGACTCGCACGCTCTGCTCACCGCTCTCGCCGCACCTCTCAGGCGGCCAGCTCGGCGATCTCTTCGACAAGACGTACGTTCGGCGCGTCTCGCGCGAGACGGTCCCGGCCCAGCTTGCCCGCACGCGCGCATCCGCGACGCGCGCCTGAGCCGCGCGTGTGCGTGTGGCGACAGGCGGGCCTCTTCGACGGGCTCGAGAAGCTTCTGCGCTCCCTCACCATCGCCGGCCACCCGATGGCGGTGCTCTCGAATGCGTGCGGCGAGTACGTGCGTGCGGTGCTCTCGGCAAACGAGCTCGACGAGAAGCCCGGTGCGGAGGGCCCGCCGCTGCCTCCCCCTCCCCCTCCCGTCACACGGGAGAGAGGCGGAGAGGCGTCCCTCACTCCGCCCCCGGGCAGAACGCACCCGGGGCAGACGCCTCTCGGGCAGACGCCTCTCACCGCACCCGGGACGGCCTCTCGCCAGGCGTGCGCGTGCCGCTCTTCAAGGAGGCGCTCGGCGCCGACGAGGTGGCAGAGGCGAAGCCTTCGGGCGTGGGCTTGCTCGAGATTTGCTCGAGGATTGAGGCGGTGCCCGAGGCGTCGGTCTATGTTGGCGACGCGCCGACGGACGGCAAGGCGGCGCGCGCCGCAGGCATGCGGTCGGTCGGCGTCGCTTGGGGCGCGAATCCGGCAGCAGCGCTCGAGGCCGACTTCGACGTGGTTGTGAGTGACGTGCCCGCCCTAATCGTGGCGTTGCGCACGTTGCTTGGAGACGATGAGAAATCGTAGTGACATAGAAGATAGCGGCCACGGGGTGGAGACAGACGCACTTCATCTCGCCACAGTTGGACCGTTTTCGTTTTATTGCGTCTCGATGACATGCGGCGTGCACACACACCGCTGGCACACTCGGGAGTCTGCCCGGGCGCCGCGGGGTCGTCTTTTCGCTACACATGTATCTCTGGTCTCTCTCGTCCTGCGTGTGAGAAAAATCTGGTTCGGGCTCGGCGGTCTTTAAGTCGGTCTTTAAAGCCGTACCTGGTACATATTTTGCCGTGTACAAGCTCCGCGGGACCTTCACCCGCACGTGACCCACCGTAGCGGCGTCACAGCAGCGCCCTCGGCCTCCGGTACGTAAGTTGCCCATGTTACGGGGCAGACTGCGCGTCCAGCCTCGCGGAGTCCGAGCTGGCGCGCATCCTGCCGCACCCCAAACATGCGCAGGCCGAGGTGCTGCAAGAAGATGTCGCTCCTCTTGAACAACTCGGGCGTGTACAGCGCGTCTTGAGAGCCCACCGCCCACTCAGCTGTCTTCCGAAAGCCCAGCCCTGCCTCGAAAAGGCCGACCACGGTGATGGGATCGCCCTCGGCAAAGACCCAGCTGCGGTCACATGTGAGCGGAGTCGCACGGTCGAGCAATCTGCGGTGCGTGTGCTTGTCCGCCTGCAGGTTTGCTCCGCTGCGAGGGTCGGCCGAGAAGCGTACGCTATTTCTATCGATGCGGCAGACAAGCCGCGCATCCCTCGCGGCCTCCAGCACCTGCTCGAGCTCGCGCCGGCTCTGCAGCTTGAGCAGCGGCGCACCAGAGTAGCCGCGTTGCATCATCCCTCCGCGGTCGAGGTTTAGGTCCCTCGCGTCCGCTGCGTAGACCCACACGTCAGAGAAGATGCGCGTGTGGGTGTGGATGAAGGCGTGCGCCAGCCAGCCGGTGTACGGGGCTTGGGCGGTGAACCACTGTGCATGCAGCCCCTCCTTGGGAAGCGCGAAGGTGGCGAAGGGCATGACAACCCCCTTGTTTGCAAAGTTGAGCAGCGAGAGCGGAACCACCGGCGCGGAGCTGAGAGGCTCGCTCGTGCGGAAGGCCACCATGGGCACCATTGGCGTCGCGAGGTCCCGCCGTGCGACAAAGGCGCCGTCGGAGCGGTAGAGCGGCCGCGTTACAAAGGCGAACGAGGCAGCCTCTGTGCCTGGACGGGAGGAAACGAGGCAGGGGGGTGAGCGGTAAGCGGAGCGGAATAAACCTTCGGGGTGGACGGGACAAGGGCTCGCGCACTTGGTAGGTCAAAGAGAAGGCACGCCTCACCTCCCAGCTCAGGCAGGCACACGCTGTCGCCATGCACCTGGAAGTCGAGCCCGGGCGACGGCCGGCTGCGGTCGTCGTCATTCACGTGGATGTGGTGCATGTAAACCTAGGTCAGGGTTGGAGTCAGGATGAGAGTCAGCTTTGAGGCTAACTCTATGTGACTCGAAGCGCGTGCACCTGGCTGCCATCGTGCGCAGTCGTGCCGACAAAGTATGCCGTCGTCAGTGTGTGGCCAGCGGGCTGTGACAAGTGCCAGCCACCCCATCGAATCATCGAGCCCGCTGGTAGAGAGCGCGGAAAGCCCTGCAAGGTGTGGATGACCCACGTGTGGGAGCCGTCCGCGTCGCTCCACGCATGTGTGCATCGCCGCTGCTGCACCATCACTTGCTGCGAGTCGTTGCCTGCGCCGTAGTGCAGCGGAAGATGGAACTCTGCGACCAGTGGGCTCTCCTCGCAGCGCTCACGTGCTGCCCTCGACGTGGCGTCTAGGAATGCGCTATGGCTCCGACGGCGGCGCCCGACGTCGGAGATGTGGCGCTGGAAGGTCGAGGCGTGTATGGCCGCTGTCCGCGATGCACTCGCGCGTGCCAGCTCCGCGCTCTCCATCTCGCCGTGCCTGCTGCTGAAGCAGTGCGTGCATGCCTCGGGCGGCGAAATGGATGGAGGGGCGCTCGTCTGGGGCGTGGCGGCGGAGCACGTGCTGCAGCGAAACCACTGCCGACCGGCACAGCCGAGGAGCGGATCGCAGGCGGGCTCGAGTGGCGTGGCAGCGCAGTCAGTCCCGTGAGTCCCAACTGATTCTCCATCGCCGCAGCTGCCACAGCGCCAATGGCCAATCTGATCGCACACCTGTGGAGCGCTCCCGCCGTCGCCACCGCTGCCGCCGCCGCCGCCACCGCTGCCGCCGCCGCCGCCACCGCTGCCGCCGCTGCCGCTGCCGCTCGCCGCTGTTGCCAGGCCGAGTTGGCGTCTCATTGCGCGGTACACAGGCGGAGACGGTGCGACGCGACTGCTCCCGAGCACGTTGTTTCCCCACTCCCAGCTATCGCCGCCGTGACTGGAAAAGACGCCCTCACACCAGCCGCGGCCATTCCTCTGTGAGGGCGGGAAGCAGCTCCGCTGCCGGACCAAGCCAGTCACGGTCGCTGTCGTCCACGCTAGCGTGGTGTCGGGGCAGCACGCGCGTTCGCCATTCGCGAGGAGTGGCTGCCCAACTTCGTTGGACTGATTGCTGACGTCGAGAAAGCCTACCTCGTCCATGAGCACAAGCGCTCCGGGGCTGGCCATCGCGCGCAGGTTTCGGAGGTCGAGCAGCGGCACATACCCAAAATGCCCCCCGTCCACGCTGACGATATCGCATTGCGCCTGTGGGTTGTTGCGGCTGAACACCGGGATAGTTTCGATGGTAGAGCCCTGGACGAGAGTGACGCGGCCGGGGAAGTAGTGATGTAGCACAGCCGAGACATTCGGGTCGACGACGAGGTCAAAGGCAATGAGGCGAGCGTGCGGGCTGCTACATAGCCACACCGTGGCTGAGCCGCCGCGAAAGAGTCCCGTCTCACACACCACTGGTCCGGATGTCGACCCGGTCCTGGCTGCCAAATTTGAGGCGTGTGCTGTGTAGGCGTCGACCTGCTGTCTCTTGCCTGTGATGGTTCCGCACTGGAAGCCAGCAGTATGGCAGCCCGCCCAGGTGCTCACTCCACGCAGGGCTGCCAGCACCTCCTTTTGGCACGCAGCGGCGGGGCTCATGCCCTCCACAGGAGTAGGCGCGGTCCACGTAGGAAAGTGCGCTTTCAGAAGCGCGCTCAATGTCATGTGCTGCTGGACTTCCGGACGTGTGAGCGCGCGCGTAGGTGGGGTGGCATTCCAAAGGCGCGACGTTCGTAAAATTGGACGAAAATCGACGCCGAAAAAGCCAAACCCGGTGAAAATGATTTTGGTTTGGAGATTGGGGTGTTCATGGGAGTTTCTTTAGCTGAAGAGAAATGGGAGTGAAATGTCGGGAGAGGAAGGGAGCGGGAGATCGATCGGCTATCTTGTATCTATCGCTCGGCGTCGCGGCCGCTCGAGGGCGCCGGGGCCGCGGCCGGTGGAGACCGATGTCGCCCGCGGGCGCCGAGCGTTTTTGATCTCTCGGTCTGTGGGCGCCCGCCCGCCGCCGGCCGGCTGCGGCTGAGGGTCGGGCCCCCTAGACTTAAAACAAAAACAAAATGGAGAGACAGTCAAAAACAGCCTGCCTCGTGCGAGTGTGAGTGACCCCAACAAGCCAAACGGCATCCGCCGAATAACATGTAATTAGGGCGACCAAAAGGGGCGATGGGCACGCACCCGCGCAGCGCCGGCTTTGAGCCACGCGCCTCGATACTTGCCTCGATCTTCAGAGGCGCGTGCCCCTTCCGCGGCAAGGACGACGACATCGAGGATGTCATGTTGCGCGATGGCGTCATCCATTCGTCAAGCCACCTTCATCGTGACCGTCGCCACCCTCGCCGCCGTCTCGCCTAAGTCGTCGCCTGCCGCCCTCGCCATCGTGGGCCTCGCTGCCGAGACGGTGCTTTTGCACCCTGGCTTAACTCTCCCACCCCCCTCCTATGCCGACGTGTGTCCCGTGCTCCCCCGTCCGCCGATGTCTCTGCTGCCGCCCGGCGGAGCTCTGCAGCGGTGCAGCGGGCCCTTTCCAACCTGCCGTGTGGGGAGGTCGCCCCCTGGTCCCCCCCCCCCCCCCCGGCCTCTCCGCTGAAATCTGCTGAAGTGTGCATGTGCTGACTGTTCTCGCCATTGTCCCACGCAGGAGCCAGCGCAGGTGCGTGTCTCGGTCTAATCGTAGTGGGGGCCCTGGCCCCCCTCTGCTTTCTGTTTTCTGTTTTTCAAAACGCCCGCCCGCCCGCCACCCCGAGGCGGCTCGGCCCCCCACGGCACAGGCCACAGCCGACTAGTTGCAAATACGGGTGGTGTCACAATGACCACTTTTGATGTTTTTTTGTCCGTGTTGCTCCCAGCGCCCTCGCCCGCGCTCCCTGAGGCCATGGCTGGTGATACTAGTATGGGGGGCTACCTGGATACCGCGAGAGCGACCCAACTCGTCGACATCGTCCGATGATGGTGCCTCAAAGTCAGCCTCCGGAGGCTATCGTCGCGTCGAGCCGGCGGTGGCCGTGACATGTGGTTCCACCACCCCTCGCAGGCTTTGCCTCTGACCGCCACCGTTCCCAGGCTGCCTAATGGGATGGAAAGGAAGGCTGGGCGAGCGTATAGAAGCGTGCTCAACCTTGTCGTGGCAACCTGCACGGCAGCGCTGGCAGGCGCGATGAGCGTCGTGCCACCTGACCCGAGACGGGTCGCAGGCGTCGTACCGAGCGCGTCGAGACCGTGTCCTGATGCGCTCTGCACGGGTGAGTCACGTCGGCGTCAAAGGAGCGACGTGTGACCTGTCAGAGCTTGATCTCCGATCTCAGCGGCGTCGAGTCGCCTTCGGCGGCGACAGCTAGGATGCATCTCCTCCGTCGTTTTTCGCGCTACGGCCCTGAGAAGCTGGCGCCGCACGCAGGCGGACCTTGTGTATGCGGCGAACGCTTAAAAAGTGGGTGCTCTACGTCACTTTTTTTGAGTAGATAGTGCCGAGCTGGCCGTGACAGCGATTTTGGTAGTTTTGGGCGGGTTTTGCACCACAGACTTTTTGCAACTAGTCAGCCGCCGCACAGCGCAGGCACACGAGCCGACGCCGAGAGATATCAAAAATTATTACCAAAAATAAAGCAAAACCAACGCTCGGGGCCCCCCGGGCGGGCCCTCGTCGTCCCGCATCTTTGTGTTTAGTACAAATACAGATGCATGACGCGCTCTCGAACGGGCCCGAAGCTCCGCTGCAAGAGCGTGCTGCCACTAATCCGACACCAACACACGTATAATTCACCTACTCACAAACGAACAGGATTTAGCCACATGGCATCCAATGTGATTGTGAAAGCGGTCAGCGCGGCACATGCTGCGTCACTTGTGGTCGGCGAGGAGCTGCTTGAAGTCGGCGAGAAGAGCCTCGACCGTCTTCTTGCCGTGCACCTCGTTGTCGCGCGTGCGCACGTTGACGGCCGCCTCGGCCGCCTCCTCCTTTCCGACGACGAGGATGAAGTTGTACTGCGACAGCTGCGCCTCGCGCACCATCTTGTTGAGGGTGCGGTTCGAGGCGTCGACGTCGCAGTAGAAGCCGGCGGCGTGCAGCTGATTGCGCACCTCCTCGGCGTACTCGTTGAACGCGGCGGAGACGGGGACGACGACGGCCTGCCGCGGCGAGAGGAAGAAGGGCCACTTGCCGGCGAAGTGCTCCGTGAGGATGGCGATCATCCGCTCGACCGAGCCGAGCACCGCGCGGTGAATCATGACGGGCCGCTCGTAGCCGGGCGGTAGGGCACCCGCCGCGCTCTCCTCCTCCCCGTCCTTGGGCGCCTCGGCAGCAGCCGCCGCGGCGCCCGAAGTCATGTACTTGAGGTCGAAGCGCTGCGGCTGCACAAAGTCGAGCTGGACCTGGCGTGGCCAAGGGGCGCGCGCCGTCGGACAGGGCGGGGAGGCACGCCGGCGGCGGGGGCAGCGGGACGAGCACCGTCGCGCACTGGAACGGCCGCTTGAGGGCGTCGTAGACGTGGATGTCGATCTTCGGCCCGTAAAAGGCGCCGTCGCCCGGGTTGAGGGACCAGCCGCGGCCGCTCTTGGCCTGGTACTCGTCGAGCGCCTCCGCGATCATCCCCTCGGCCGTCTCCCACACCGCGGCGTCGCCAAGCGCGCTCTCGGGCTTGGTCGAGAGGTTGAGCGCGAAGTCCATCCCGAGCCAGCCGTAGATGGTCGAGATCATGTCGAGCACGTTGGCGATCTCCTGCTTGATCTGCGAGACCATGCAGAAGATGTGCGCGTCGTCCTGCTGGAAGCGGCGCACGCGCGTGAGGCCGGTGAGCGCGCCTGCGGGGCGCGGCGTGGACATGTCACTGGGACGCGTCCTTGGGCGAGAGCCGGTCTCGGCGGGGGAGGCTCGCCCGAGAGCTCGTTGCGGTGCAGCACGCCGAAGTCGGCCATGCGGAGGGGCAGCTCGCGGTAGGAGCGCTTGCGGTGCTTGAACATGAGGCAGTGGCCCGGGCAGTTCATCGCCTTGAGCGCGAAGGGCTGCCCCTCGCAGTCCAGCATGAACATGTTCTCCGCGTACTTGGTCGCGTGGCCAGAGGTCTGCCACAGCTTGAGGTTGTACATGTTCGGCGTGATGACCTGTTTAATAACTTTAATCAGTTAATTAAAGTACTCATCACAGCTGGAGGTTGTGCATGTTCGGCGTGATGACCTCCTCGTAGCCTCGGAGCCACAGCTGGCCGCGGATGAGCTCGACGAGCTTGTTGTACAGCCGACCGCCGAGCGGCTGGAAGAAGCACGACCCGGGCGAGAGGTCGTCGAAGAAGAAGAGCTCCTGCTTGATGCCGATCGCGCGGTGGTCGCGCTTCTTGGCCTCCTCCTGCAGCGCCTTCCACTCGGCGAACTCCTTCTTGTCGGGGAAGGAGACGCCGTACACGCGCTGCAGCTCGTCGTTGCCCGCCTTGCCGAGCCAGAGCGCGGCCGACGTCTTCGTGACGGCGAAGGCCTTGACCTTGCCCGTGTTTGGGAGGTGTGGGCCACGGCAGAGGTCGACAAAGGGGCCTGGAGGAGAGGGGGGGGGGGGCTGGCTCAGATAGCGCGGTTTTCTAGGCCGCTGGCATCTCGCTCATCGAGGTCAGTGCCCAGTGCGTCTCATCACGGCCAGAGGGGGAAGGCCTGCCACCCCCTCGAGGGGACCCCGCACGGGGACCCCGCACGGGTACCCCGCACGGGTACCCCGCACGGGGGACCCTTGTGCAGCCCTTCTGCCCCGCCCTCCCCTCCTCTCCTACCCGGCCGACCCGGCCAAGCCCTGGCCAGGCCCCTCCTCCCCCGTCTCCTCTCCGGGCCAGCGCGCGCCTCGCCCAACACGTGCGCCGAAGAGTGCCTACGGTCACACCGCCAGCCGCGCCTGAGCCCTCGCGCCTCCCTCCCGCAAGCTGCGCGGTCGGCGGGAGAGAGAGGGCGCCAGAAGGTCTCCTTGCCGGCGGGCTCGTCCCACTTGTGCAGCCGCAGCTCGCAGTCTCCCTCGAGAGGCCTGACGAGGCCACCGCGCGGTGAGGCCCACGTGCTGGCGGAGGGAGGCGGGGAGGAGCAGACGAGCCGCGCCGTTGCACATCCCACATCTCCCACTCTGCCGCCGCGGGAGCCCCGCCCGCAGACTCGTCGCCGTCGGCGTCGACGATCTGCACCGTCCCGGCGTGGCGCTTGGAGTAGCGGACCTACCGCCAAACAGTCGTCCGCTGAGCGAGGAGGCTCGCGCTGCCGTCCGTGGGCCGACAGGCGGCGAGCCGAGGCGACGCAGGTGGCAGAGGCGAGGCCCTTTGAGATACCGGAGGCAATGTCGAGGGGCGAGGTCTCCCACGCCTTGCCCTCGATGGCCTTGCCGTCGGGCAGGGTCACTGTGATCGGCGGCTTTGGCAACGCCTCCAGCGCCGCCGCATTCCGCTGCTTGATCTCCTCGAGCAGCGCCAGCCGCTCTCCGATCCAGGCCTGCCCAAGGGGTGGGAGTGTTGGACCTCCTCGCGCGCCACGCCACGCGTGTGACGAGCGGCGCACACCGGCTCCGCTGCCAGGTCGAAGGGCACGCCGAGCCGGCCTGCTCCGATCTCGCCGCCGCTCGAGGCAGCGGTGCGCTTGCCCTCCTTGCGTGAGTGCGAGCTGTCAGCGGCGGCCATGTCGCTCGCGGCGGCGGCTAGAGTTGTGGCCGACAGCTCTGGGTACAGCGCGGCCAGCTTCTTGAGCGCGGCGCTGTTGTCGAGCATCGCTTGAGAGCTCGATGACATTTAATCCACACGGACGGACGCAAGGACGCGGAGCTGCTGGGCGTGGAGCTAGCAGTGGTACACGCAGCTGGCTTGCTCGTGCGCTTTTCTTTTCCAGGCGAGATGAGTCGAAGAAGAAAAACGGTTTGGCGGGTGGAGTGCTCTCTACTGCCGCGGCGCCCCACCGGTTCGGAGGCGCCCGGCGGCCGCGCGCTTGGTGCCGAGGCGTCGGTGTGTGCACACCAGCAAGCAGCCCGCAATTAATTACGAGCAGCAAGACATGATGCCCGGGGAGCCGCCGCCCGCGCGGAAGGGGCGCCGCGGGAGAAAGGGGTAGAGAGTCCAGTGGAGATGGTTCGTGTTGGCAGCGTGCGATGTAGGTGGATCTCGACCCCCAGATTCGTTTCGCGTTCTTTCACCGTTTACAACTGGGTGTGGAAAAGCGATCTTTCTGAGAGAAAAAAAAGGCCCCGGGGACGGCGTGCCACACATATACGCGTGTGTATGTCCTCGTCCACGCCAAACGCCGCGCTCGGCGGCACCACGCCCGCCACAAAGAGGCCGCACGAGTCGGAGCCGGAGTCGGACCGGCAGCCCAGCAAGGTTGCACGCACTGGCGCTGGCGGCCTTGACGGTGGCGTGTCTGACATCACCGAGGTCGTCGTCGAGGAGTCCGCCACCAAGTCCACCGCTGCCGAGGAGTCCACCAAGTCCGCCGCCGCCGAGTCTGCCACCGAGGAGGCTGCCACCGAGGAGGCGACCACCGAGGAGGCGACCACCGAGACGCAACTTGCCAGGCTCGAGTCTGCCGCTGTCACCCTCAATGCCCGCGGCGCGGACGCTCTCGACTCTGGTACAGCCGAGCGGCTGCGGGGAATTGCGATGTCTCTCTGGAAGCTGAATGACACCTTCAAGCAGCGGGAGGCGGCGAGGAAGGAGGCTGCGGCTGCAGGTCCCACCGACGACACCTTTTCGGGGCCTGAGGGTTGTCCCCGCGTCCGGCTCGAGCTCGACATCGTGGAGCAGATCATGCTTCAGCTCTCTCCCAAGGACATGGCCGTCGCCGCACGCGTCAACCGGCACTTTCTGCAGGCCGTCGAGCGCGCGATTCCTGCGCGGCTGCGGCCCCCGCCGCCCCCGCCGAAGCCCGGCAAGCCGCAGCTGCCCAACGACCCGCGGCGGCTCAACCTCGGCCTCGCGGTCGATGCCGACGAGAAGGTGACGACGGGGCTGCTCGCGCGGCTGGAGCAGCAGGTGAAGCAGGTGCGGGAGGCGGGTGAGGTGCCATCCCTACTCGAGCGGTCCGAGGTCGACGACCTCCGCACGCTGGCGTCGTTTCACCACTCGGTGCTGCACAGTTTGCTCGACGACGAGAGGCTGCTGCAGCTGCTGAAGGTGGACGACCTCTCTGGAGCGGTGGCCTGGCGCATCGTGGTCAACGGGAAGCCAACACCTGCGTGGGTCCAGCGGAACAAGTCGGCAGTGGAGGCAGCATTGCGTGCAAGCGGCCCCAATTCGACGACGATCCAAACCTACCTGTGCCTGTTGTTCCACAAGATGCCCACCTCTGTGGCCGAGGAGCACGTCGAGGACATCGGCGCGCTTCTTGCGCGGATCGCTGAGACAGCGTTGGGCTCCGGTTCGCCGCTCCAGATCGAACAGCTGCTGGACCTCCTCGCAAGGCTGTCCACGCCAGCCCTCGCGCGCATCCGCGCCAAGATCGACGAGTGCTGGAGCGCATGTCAGGCAAACCACGCCTTCAACCACCTCGCGGTCGCGCCCAAGGTGCGGGCCCTCCTCGCGCAGGCCAACGGCACGTCCATCTGAGCTATCCTTCGGGCCAACGCCGCGTCCCTGTCCGTCCCTCTGTGCAGCGCACTCACGTGCCGCCTTTTTGCTTGCTGTTGCTCGAGTAGAGGGTGGACCGTGATTACAACATAAGAAAAGATCTCGACGCGGCCAGGAACACGCCACATATTGCGGCTCTTCACCGCATGTCGGCCGTCGCACGCAGTTCCTCTCGCCCGATCACTCGCACATGCGATGTGCGTGTCCGGGCGCCGGAAGAGTCACACAGTCCCAGACCCAGCCAGACTCGTCTCCTCCATCCATCCAAAGACAGCCAGTTCCAGAGTCCAGGGGTGTGTGTTTGCTCGGCGCCGCCCTTCGGGGCACCGCGCGCACCAGCCACCTCGGGGCACCGCGCGCGCCAGCCACCTCGCGCCCCCCTCCGCCCCGCCGAGCGCTCCGCCCCACCCCGGGGCAGCACGGCGCCGCGGCAATTTCCTCCAGGGGAGGCAAGAGGCTCGCGGGTGCGGCCTCTAACTAGGTTGAGAGGGGCTCTCGCGCCCTCTACCGCTTTGCGCCGCCGCCGCGCCCGTAATTCTTGTGCTTCTTGGGCGCGTTGTGCTGTGCCTTCTTCTTGGTTACGCGATGCGGCGCCGGCGCCGTGTGGGTCGCCAGCTCCTCGCCGGCGACCGCGTCCGCGCGCAGCGACGTGTTGGATGGAAGCTTCCTGCTTCCATCTTGACTTCTTGAGAAACAGCGCCGCACAACATTGGTCATTGCCCTGGCTGGCCTGGGTGGCATCTCCTCATCATCACGCGCCAAGCGGGAGGGAAGTGGATGGTGGAGGAGGAGCAGTAGGTCAAGGTTGCCGGCGGTCCCCGCCGCCGCGGTCGCCGCGGGCCCGGCCGCGACCGTCCCGGGCCAGGGGGGGGATACGACTCGGACTCCCCGGTTGCCCCGAAAGGTCCGCTGAATCCCCTCCGCTATCGGGCGGTGATCGTAGTCCGGGTCTACCGTGAGGGTGATCAGCGTCGGGTCGCCAGCCGTGGGCGGTTCATTGCTCGCGGCTCCGCCGCGGGCCCCCGCCCTCAGAGGAGCCCCCCCCCCCGTCTCCCTACAAAACATTACCTGTATCAGACAGAGCACCGGGAATAGTGGAGGCTGGGTGTACCAGTGTCGTGCGAGGGAGCACTTGGAGCACTTGGAGCACTTGGAGCACTTGGAGCACTTGGAGCACTTGGAGCACTTCGAGCTTTATTTAAAATTCATCATTCACAGCATTGTTATTGAGAAGAAAATACGTCTCGAACCTTTCGCATGATTCCAGAGACCTCGAGACCTCGAGACAGTTGCTCTCCTCGACGTGGAAGGAAGTTTTCTTTTGAGAGCGCCTTCGTTGTTAATAGTACAAACCCAATGGTCCTCTGCGAGCGGTCCTCCGTTGCTGTCACGCACACGCACACGCCATGCCGCACCGCGCGCCCGCCCACCGCCCCGCCCAGGCGGGACAATCCCAGAGACCTCGAGACCTTGTTGCTCTCCTCTCGAGCTGGGCGCTGCCATCAATCGACATCAAGGCAACGATGTGGTGGCTCCACGCGGCTGCTGTGATACGCTCGCCGCTCCTTGCGCATCGGATCCGAGGTGCTCCCGTCGCCTCGGCCGTCGCGCCCAAGCTCGACGGCCAGTTCGGCTCGCGTGGCGACGTCCTCGCGTCGCTCGCGGCGGCAGCCGAGCGCGCCGCCGAGGCGGAGGCGGGAGTGGCTCGCCTCTCGGCGTCCCTCTTGGCGGAGGAGGCCCGGGTGGCGACCCTCGGCGCGGACGCGCGGGCGGCGTCCGAGCCCAGTCGCCTAGCGATGGAGGCGGAGCTCGCGCAGCACAAGGCGACCCTTGCGCAGAGCAAGGGGGAGTTCAGCTCGTACTATGCAGCCTGGCTCGCAGACGGCCCGGCGCTGGACGGCAGCGGCGGTCTCCCGCCCCTCCCCGACGTCATCCAGCCGCCCGACGGCATTGCTGCCGGTCCCCTTGGGGGCGAGGCTTCGGGCTCGAGCGTGCTGCCGCCGAGCGCGGGCTCAGAGGAGGCTGCGAAGCGTGCGTGGCTCTCTCGGCTGGACGCTCCGTCGTGGGGGACGGCGGCGGCGGTCGTCGCGGAGGCGTCGGCGGCCGCCGCCGCGGAGGCGGACCTGCTAGCCAAGTGCGACGCGGGCGTGCAGCAGGCGTGCAGCCAGCGCGGCGTGGAAGAGGAGGCGAAGAGGGCGTGGCTGCAGAAGCTGGACGCGCCGACCTGGCAGCGCTCGCTCCGTGCCGCACGCCTCGCCGACCGAGCCCCTGACCTGAGCCGCGGCCCACCCGTAGGGGCGCCGTGGCTGCGGCGGTGTCGGAGGTCGCTACGACGGTGGCTTCGCCGGGCTCCGACCCGGAGGCTTCCGAGGAGGCTGCAAAGCAGGCCAGAGAGGGGCCTCCCCCCGCGCCGCCCGCGCCCGTCGCCGACGCCTCGGCGGCGCGCTCTGCCCCGCAGGCGTGGCTGTCCCGGCTCGATGCGCCGGAGTGGGGCAAGGCGGCGACGGCGCTCACCCGCGTGGCCGCGTGGGAGGTTGCCGGCTCGGCGGCGGCGGTGGCGGAGCTGGCCGAGGCGTGCGGCTCCGGCGACGCCGCCGCGTGCGACACGCTCTCGCGCGAGGAGGAGGCGAAGGCGGCCTGGCTGGCCAAGCTCGACGCGCCGACGTGGGCCGCGGCGACGGCGGCGGTGTCTGCCGTGGCGTCCGAGGTGGCGGCCGAGCCGGCGATGGATGCGGAGGAGATCGCAAAGGCCGCGTGGCTGGCCAAGTTCGACACGCCGTCTTGGGGCGCTGCCGCCTCGCAGGCTGCACCGCCGCCGCTAATTGCAGCAGTGCCTCCGCCAGCGTCGTCGGCATCGGCAGCGCTGGCGGCATCGTCGTCGTCCTCGTCCGCCGAGGCGGCAGCCAAGGCGGCGTGGCTGGCTAGGCTTGAGGCGCCGTCTTGGGGCGGAGCGACCAAGTCCGCGGCGGCAGCGCTGGCGGCATCGTCGTCGTCGTCGTCCGCCGAGGCGGCAGCCAAGGCGGCGTGGCTGGGTAGGCTCGAGGCGCCGTCTTGGGGCGCAGGGACGCCGGCACCCGCATTCCCAGCGGCAGCGTCGCCGCCGCAGCAGCCGTCGGCGCCGCTGCCGCCCGCAGCTGCGGCCGGGTCGTCGGTTGTCGCGTCCGAGGCGGACGCAGCCAAGGCGGCGTGGCTGGGTAGGCTTGATGCTCCCTCTTGGGGCGCCGCGGCCTCGCCGCCGCCCTTCGCGGCCCCGCCGCCTCCCCCGCAGCAGCCCCCATTCCCGGTCGCCCCCGTCGCCCCCGTCGAGGGGGGGGCAGGCGCGTGGGGCTCGCAGGCTAGCGACGGAGGGGAGAGCTGGCGTGCGGCGCCGCCTCCCTCCTCTGGCGGGCATAAGGTGATTGATACACCTCCGCCTCCCTCCTCTGGCGGGCGGGCTCCCCCCCCCGCCACGTGGCGAGGTGCCCCCCCAGCCACGTCCCTCCGCGACGCCGCGACGTTCGGCTTGGCCGGCGCGCCCATGCTTGTCGCTGCCATCGTCAGCGTGGCGGACCGGCAGCTGATGCAACCGATGGAGCGCCTCTCCTGCTGCCACCGCACACGCCGTCTTGGAGCGGCTGCCCACCCCCACCCCCGCGTGAGCAGGAGCTCCTCTTCTTCCTCGCCAAGTACCTCCTCTACGTGGCGGTCGTCCTCGCCCTCCGCTAGAGGGGAGGCATCGGACACGAGGACGAGCGTCGGAGGAGACACGAGAGCATCGCCGCCGCGCCTCAGGCCCGAGCCTCGGCGCTGCTCGTGCAGGGACCAGGGTGCATCGTACTACGCTACCGGGCTGCAACGGAGGCAGCTTATGCGTGCCGTGCATGTCTCGCATGCCGGGAAGGGCCAGGGGTGTAGAAGAGGTCATCAGCTGGCCCGATCCTCGGGACCGCGGCGGCCCCACCCAGCGCACACGCCGCGACGCCGCCTCGCCGGGGGGGGACACCAGTCACCACTTCTGTGCCACTCGCGGCTTGTCGCACCCAGATGCAGATCCGGTGGTGGAAGAGCCGAGAGATAGCCTCGCGCATATACACACATGGTTGCATCTCACACAACACACAAGGTCATCGATCATCGTGCCCTCTCGGACAAAATCGCGCCGTAAAAAACTCTAGAGGAATCGCGTACACGGCGTACCTTGTGGACAGCGGAGCCAATATGTGTTGTGCTCGGACGTGTATTATATGTGACGCGTTGCGGTGCGCGGTGTGAGTGCGAGCCCTGTGCGCTGTGGCCGTGCGGGTTCAGGGTGCGCCGAGGGCGTTCTAGGAGCAAACAAGGGCGTCTACCATGCCGCGGTGCGTGGCGGTCGGCCTCCCCTCCTGCACTGGGCAAAAGCACGCGGCGGCAAGCCTGGTGGCCTCGTCAGTCGGCGGAGACGCCCTTGACGAGCACCTGGAGGTGGCGGGGAGGGCGGGAGGGAGGGGGAGGGGGAGGGTGCGGGAGGGTGCGGGAGAGAGGAGGTGGGCTGAGAGGCTCTCTCCTGGTCGATGAGCCAGATCTGCCCGTCGACCGTCTCGTGCTTTGTGAACTGGAAGGTCACCTGCGCGCGGGGCAGAGGAGTGGAGCGCCGGGGCGGGAGAGCGGTCTCGCGGGGGTGAAGGGGACCGGCACGGCCTCGCCACTCCTGCCCCGGAGCAGGCACTGCTGCAGCGCCTTCTTCTTGTCGATGGACAGCTCGAGCTTCTTCGGGTACGAGACCGACACCCAGTCCAGCAGCACAGCGTACCTGCGACACACAACACACGGAGGAGGCCGTTGGGGCCCTCGACCCCCTCTGGCGAAGAGGAGAGGCGCGCGAGGCGGCACTTTGAGTCTTGAAAGTACCCGAGCAGCATCGGAGCCGTGACCTATGGGGCATGTTCCGGACGCGTCCTCGACATGTCTCGTGAGAGTGCGGCAGCAGCGCCGGAGCCGTGGCCGAGGAGCCCATGTGGATGCTCGAGCCAGGCCCCGAGAAGCGCCTGGCCGCACGCCCCTCGCGCGTCAAGGACGGCGGGCGGGAGGGGCAGGCTGGGCCGGGAGGAGGGCAGGAGGGCGGCTTGGAGGAGCGTGCATGAGAGTTAGGGTTAGGGTTAGGGTTAGGGTTAGGGTTAGGGTTAGGGTTAGGGTTAGGCTGGAGGAGCGTGCATGAGAGTCTCGACGCCCGCGGCAGGGTTACTGCGATCCGCGCGGTCCTCGCGGAGAGCGATCAGCACCAGGTCGATGATCTCGCCTGGGGTCTGCCCGGGCGTTGGCACCGCCGCCTCGCGCCCCTTTGCCTCCTCCAGGTTGGAGTAGATTGGGTCGACGACGTCGATCCGGTTCCGCAGAGCTTTGTACAGCTCAGAAGTTTCGTAGTCAGGTCGCCGCTGCAGGTGCGCGTAGAGCTCGGAGGTGAACTCCCGCGTGCCAATCTCTTCCGCAAGATCGCGAGCAAGCGAATCCTCCTCTGCTGCAGCCGAGTCTTTCGGCGCGGCCCCCTCGCCGCCGTCTGTCCCCGGTGCGCTGCCATCAGCGCACAGCGTCGATGCCCGGCTGCGCTGATGGCGGAGCGGCGGCCCGTGCGGCGCGCCAGGCTGGTAGGCGGAGCAGCCCAGGAGCAGCAGCGCCGCCGCCCCAACGATGCCTCCTCTCATCACCGCTCGGGTTCGGGCTTCTTAGGGGTAGGGGCTTCTGGACCTCCAGTCTCGACACCCCGCCATAAAAACGGTATGGCGGTGGAGTGCTCTCTACTGCCGCGGCGCCCCTGTCGGTTCGGAGGCGCCCGGCGGCCGCGCGCTTGGTGCCGACGTCGACCGGCTGCTCTCGCGGCGCCGAGTTGCCGCTTTGGTCACGTCTCGCGCGGTGCGAAGTGTCTTTTGGCATGTGAGCGCTTGCCATGGACGCCAGGATGCTTGGCTTCCACGCCTGCGGCCGCGGGCGAGGGGGCGGGCACGCCAGGCTCGGCGACGCTCTGTGCGCGGGTCTTCGAGCTCGCAGCCCGCGACGAGCCAGCACGGCTCGTCGCTCGACGGCAGCCTGCTCAGAATGCTCTCGGCATTCTGGACAGCCTCGCCAAGCTCTCTGGGAAGGTCTACGGGGCCAAAGCGGCCTGTCTCGGGCGCGATGGCGAGCTTGGTGGTACCACGACTACCAGCTCTCCAATCGGGCCGCCGGCAGCGGCGCCGGGCTTGCGCGGCGCGCCGCTCGACGGCAGGCTGCTCCCCACCCTTCCAACAGTGTATCTTTTGCCTCGCTTCTCTCGCTGCAACCGCCTCCGGGGGCCGGCACTGGCCGCCTCGCTTCGCCAGCCCTGCCTACGCCTACGACATGCGCATCGGCTCGCCGCCCGCGTCGCCTGCGGCGGGCCCGCGTGACGCGCCGCTCGTCGGGAGCGTGCTCAGCAGGCTGTGCACAGAGCGCCGCTGATGCGGCGTGGGGCCGCCGGCGGCGCTGCTGCCGCGCGCGCGGAAGGGGCGCCGCGGGAGAAAGGGGTAGAGAGTGGAGATGGTTCGTTGGCAGCGTGCGATGTAGGTAGGTCTCGACCCCCAGAATTTTTTGCGTTCTTTCACCGTTTAGAACTGGGAGTGGAAAAGCATTTGGCGAGTTTTTCTTACACAACTTGCTAAAAAAGGCCGCAGACGCAAGAGGACGGCGTGCCACACACATCACAGTCTCCATATGCGCGTGTGTATGTCCTCGTCCACGCCAAACGCCGCGCTCGGCACCACGCCCGAAACAAAAAAGAGGCCGCACGAGTCGGAGCCGGAGTCCAGCTCGGCGTACTCGGACCGGCAGCCCAGCAAGGTTGCACGCATTGGCGGCGGCGGCGGCGGCCTTGACGGTGGCGTGTCTGACGTCAAGGAGTCCGCCGCTGCCGAGGAGTCCGCCGCCGAGGAGGCCGTCGTCGCCGAGGAGTCCGCCACCAATGAGGTCGCCACCATGTCCGCCGGCGGTGGCGGCAGCAGCGGCGGTGGCGTGTCTGAGGTCGAGACTTGCCAGGCTCGAGTCTGCCGCTGACACCCTCAAAACCCTCGGCGCGGACGCTCTCAACTCTGGTACAGCCGAGCAGCTGCGGGGAATTGCGATGTCTCTCTGGAAGCTGAATGACACCTTCGAGCAGCGGGAGGCGGCGAGGAAGGAGGCTGCGGCTGCAGGTCCCACCGACGACACCTTTTCGGGGCCTGAGGGTTGTCCCCGCGTCCGGCTCGAGCTCGACATCGTGGAGCAGATCATGCTTCAGCTCTCTCCCAAGGACATGGCCGTCGCCGCACGCGTCAACCGGCACTTTCTGCAGGCCGTTGAGCGCGCGATTCCTGCGCGGCTGCGGCCCACGCCGCCCCCGCCGAAGCCCGGCGAGCCGCAGCTGCCCAACGACCCGCGGCGGCGCAACCTCGGCCTCGCGGTCGATGCCGACGAGAAGGTGACGACGGAGCTGCTCGCGCGGCTGGAGTGGGAGGCGGGTGAGGTGCCATCCCTACTCGAGCGGTCCGAGGACGGCGACCTCCGCACGCTGGGGTCGTTTCACCACTCGGTGCAAGACTACTAGAGGCTGCTGAAGCTGCTGAAGGTGGCCGACTTGTCAGGACAGAGGGCTTGGCGCATCGTGGCCAACGGGAAGCCAGCACCTGCGTGGGCCCAGCGAAACAAGTCGGCAGTGGTGGCAGCATTCCGTGCAAGCGGCCCCTATTCGTTGGTGATCCTCCTCCTGACGTGCCTTTTGTTCCTCTCAATGCCCGCCTCTGTGACCGAGGAGCACGTCGAGGACATCGGCGCGGTTCTTGTGCGAATTGCTGAGGACGACTCCTGCCAGCCAGGTGAGATCGACGTGCTGCTCAATGTCCTCAAAACGCTACCCGCGCGAGCCCTCGTGCGCATCCGCGCCAAGATCGACGCGTGCCGGAGCGCATGTCTGGCAAACCACGCGTTCAAAAACCTCGTGCCCAAGGTGCGAGCGCTCCTCGCCCAGGCCGACGGTGCACCGTCCATCTGAGCTATCCTTCGGGCCAACGCCGCGTCCCTGTCCCCGTCCCTCTTGTCGCAGCGCACTCACGTGCCGATTTTGCTTGCTCGAGTTGTGCGTGGACCGTGATTACAACATACTGTATAAAAGAAGATCTGCAGGCGGCAGGAACACGCCACATATTGCAGCTCTTCACCGCATGCTATAGTCGTTGTGTGTTGCGTGCGTTATGCGGGGCGCCGCCGGGCCCGCGTCTCGGCCGTCCGCGCACGCAGTGTCCCTCGGCTCGCCGATCACTCTCGCCATAATGTGATTATGTGCGAGGTGGGCATTCGGCGCGGATCGGGGGCACCTTGGAGTGCTGGGGGGGGCGACAGGGACACCGTCACCGACGAGCGCGTTGGAGTATTCACTCCGGACAAAGACGGCGACACGCACACGAGCTGCGGCCGTGTCGCCGTCATAGCGGCGAGGCGCGGGACCGTCTGTGGCGAGTGGGTCGCGTCCCCCGATTTTGTTGAACCCAGCATCCACACCCTTTAGTGTCGCGCTATAGTCAGGGCTCTGATTCCGCTACGGCTTTATTCTCCACCACCTTTCTACATTCTAGGGTCGATTCCGCATGATACGGGACCCCTCGATCGTCTCGCGGTCCCGTCGACGAAAGTGAGCTGTCCAGGATCCGCAGGAGTGTCCGCGCGCTGCGCCGCGCTGTGCGGCACCCTGTCATCACCGCGCGCTCCCGCGGCGCTGCGCTGTGAACGCGATCGCGAAGCACTTGGCCGAGAACCGAAACGAGCGGGAATATTTTTTGAGCAATCGCTTCACAAGCAAACGTATTATTACACCTCGAGGCCAGCGGCGAGGCGCGCCAGCTTGACCTCCGGCCAGCGAGCGAGCCGCTGATCATGTTGGCGCCTGCGTCGGACACGGCGCAGAGCTGCTGTGCATGCAGGGTTTTGCACACCTCTGTGTGGCAGACCTCCCGATGGCCCGGCATCGAGCCGATGCGCAAGAGTGGTGTCGAGCCGATGCGCTGGTGTGAGCGACGATGGCCCAAGGCCTGGGCTGCCGCGAGTGTGCGAGTGTGCATCTACGGCCTGGCACAGGAGGAGGTGCGTCGGCGCGGCATAGTCGGGCGGCGCGCCGGGCTCGATCGGGCTCCACTCCACTCCGGCGTCGGTGATGCGAAAGCAAGGCTCTGCCTCCGCCTCCTCCGGCTCCGGGCCAGCCACGTCCGACGCGGGCGCGGAGGGTGGCATCTCGAAGCCGCTGAGCGCGTCCGAGCGAGTGTTTGGCTCCGTGGAGACGCTGGCCGTGCGGCCGCCGCGCCAGCCGAGCGGCCGGATCTCGGAGCCCTCCACCTGTCCATCAATCAGCTGGGTTGATTGCCCCGACTCATGCAGAGACAGGGCCTCGGAGCCGTCCCACGTCGTCGTGCTCGTCGCCCGACCGAAGCGCCTACAGCAGCAGCAGCGTCGAGCTCACTGCAACACCTGCCCCGCGGTCCCGCCCTTCCTCGCCCGGGCGGGGAGGAGAGGGCGCCACGCGATAGACGAAGCCTCGCCCGCCTCGCCCCACGCCAACCACAGTCCCCTCGAACCACCCCTCGTCGTCAAAGTCGACCTCGACGGCAGCACCGACCGCGAAGGGAGCATCCCCAACCTCCGCGGCAGCCGCCTCCGAGCCCACGCCCGCCGCCTCCCCCGCCGCCCCCCCGCCAGCCCCTCCGCCAGCCCCTCCGCCAGCCCCTGCTGCCGCACCCTCTCCAGCCCCACCTCGCCGACCGCCCTCCCTCTCGCCCGCCGGGCCGCACCTGCGAAAGCGCCTCCGAGATGAGCCGAGATGAGCCGAGAGTGGTTGACTCTCGCCCGCCGGGCCGCACCCTCGCCCGGCGGATCCATCCGACTGCCCCTCCGACTGCCCCTCCGACTGCTCCTCGAGCTTCCCCTCCAGCCTCCCCTCGATCTGCCCCTCCGCCTCCGAAGCCCCTTCCCCGCCGGCCGGCTCCGCCTTAGCCGCCTCTGAGTCGAGCAAGTCGAGCTGCAGGCTCGCAGAGTCGATCCGCGGCAGCGCGCGAGCCAGCCCCGCGGCCGTGCCCTCCCTAGCCGGCGCCGCGCGCCCCGACGGCATCCACGGCTCGTCGGATCGCCCTCCCTCGGGCGAGGAGGCGCTCTCCGAGTACGCCTCTGTGCCGGACGAGTCCTCGCGGCTCCTCTCCGAGATGTTGGAGAGGCGCGCCTCGCGAAGCGCAAGCCGCCGCCGCGCGCGCTCTGCGCGACTGGCGCGACCTCCTCGGCGCCCGGCCGGCGTGGGCAGCGGCGGGTGGGCGCCCGCGGCCTGGCGCACGAAGGTTGTGCGCGAGCGAGCCTCGTAGAGGGACGTGTAGTGGCTGGCAACCTCCTCGGAGAGCGGCGCCGCGGGCACGGCGTCGCCGAGCCTCTCATCCGCCTCGCCCTCGTCGAACTCGTCCAGCAGCGCCTCGTCGGCGATCCAGAGCAGGTTGACGTCGCGGCCGATTGCCATCCCCAGCTGGCGCGCTGCAGCCAGGACGAGCGTCACCGGGTTCTCAAAGTCCCACGACTTGCCGTTGAGCCTGAACTGCGTCGGCCGGTCCGACCGGACGCTGCAGTCGCTGTCGTCCTCGCTCTCGTCCATGGCCGAGAAGCGTGGTGTGAGCGAGCCGAAGCGAGGTACGAAGAATTTCTGAGCCGCACAACAGTAAAGCTGGCCCCGCCCGCGCGCCAGATCCGAGAAAAAGAATTTTTCAGAGGAGTGACAACAAGAATTTAAAGAAGCGAACTCTCTCTCACAGCAGACAGAAAAATCCCTGTGTGGTGGCGGCGTGCCGTCCTCCCATCCCTCCCTTGCCTTGTCTGTTTTCTTTCTTTCTTTAGCAGACAGAAAAAGAATTCGCCTCACTGACGTGAGCAAATCGCGATGGGCTCCCCGCTCCCGTTCCCCTGTGTCCTTGGCCGCTTTGTGTATCTCGAGACCTCGAGAGAAGGCCGCCCGCCTCCCCGAGGGCCCAAGTCGAATTGGCTTTCTTTTCGCTGAGGGAGGGTGTAGAGGATGTAGAGTGTAGAGCGCTGTAGAGCTGTAGAGATGTAGAGCGCTCTGGAGCGCTGTAGAGCTGTAGAGCTCTACATCCGCCGCGGGACGAGGCGGGTGCGTTGTAGAGCGATGTAGAGCGCGATTTTGTTGTAGAGTTTGTTGTAGAGGCTCTACAGCCAAACCGCCGGGAAGGCAGTGACTCAAAGAGGTCGAGTCGCACTAATGGGGTGTCTCCGAGCTTACTGGAGCTCTGATGGACGGCCCTGACTATCCCTGACACACAGAGAGTCACTCTGACGGCACACAACACCCTATAACTGCGTCATGACCAGCCTGCCATGCGTCGCCGGTGCCGAGAATTCTGGGTGAGTGCGGAAATCGGCCAAATTGAGAGGTAGTGTTATCGGACACGGCTCCGGGCTCTGATGCTGTGAGCCCCGGACCCTCCTTGCGAAGCACACTCGCCGGTGTGGAAGGGGGAGGTCCAGAATCGCCGAGAGCAGCGCGTGGGAACATGGCCCCGCGCTGGGAAAACTCTTTTGTCCTACTCACTCTTAGCCTTGAAGTACAACGACCTGGGTGTGAGCCAAGTCCGTGGCTAAATCGAGTTGGGGCAGCGAGCGGCCTGTCAGGTCGACTCGCCCGTGCCCAGCCCGCTTGTGGCTGCCCCGACACATGGCCTCTGGTGGACCTTGCTGGGCAAGGTCCACTTCGGCTAAATTCACGCCCCAAACGCTACTATTTGCTCAGGCCAAGTCCAGGCACACTAGAGGACTGCCTGAGCTCACAGGGGCATGTACTACTTACTATATTCACACCTACTATGCTGTTTTCACACCGATCATAATACGCGATCGCGCAGAAATTCACACCTCGCGGCCAAATTCACACCTCGCGGGACGACTTATGTTTTCGTAAACGTAGTTGTGGCCCCCCGCTATGTCGCACGAGTGCAACCGGGTAGCGGGGGGCCGGGGGGGGGGGGAGAAAATCGGCCAAATTCACACATCGCGGCCAAATTCACCAGCAGCGGATCCAGCTGTTTCCACACCGAGGGCCGCCCCCACGACTGCACGTCACCCAGATACGCGACAGCGCCCTGCACGACCAGCGCCATGCCGAGCGCGCACCACCACACGCCCGCGTCGTAAGATCGCATACGGTCAGCGAAGAGCAGCAGAAGCAGGCCAGCAAACGAGTAGCCACCCGCGGAGTATCTGTACGCCACAGCGAGCGGGTGTCGCGAGAAGACGTAAGGCCGCCACTCAGGTCTATCGGCCGAAGGGTCGGAGCGAACGAGGTGGAGCATGGACTCCTCGCATCGAAGACTTTCCGAAGACGTGTGCGATGGCCAAAAGGGAATCCAAGTCTGGGTGGATTCAGCTGGGCGTTCACACACTTTCAAGATTTTACAGCTCACGGCCGCCCCGCCTTCAAATCTTAAATTCGGCTGACCTCTGTAAACGCGAATCAAAAGGCAAAACACCGGTGGTCCTCTTGCGTAAAGCCGTACGTCAGCAACGCCCAAGAAAGAGAACTCGTTCTCTAGAGTAAGGACATGAGAAATGCCGTATGTGGTGCACCGTAAGGTATGTGCGCGAAATAGGGTTATAAGGCTTTCGCAATCGCCACCTTGTTGTCGTCGTTGAAAGCGAGGATCCGCAGCGCCCCCGCGGCCCGATACTTCTGCCTGCCCGTGCCGTCGAGAGACAGCGCCACCAGCGGCGCGATGCCGCCCGCCTTCGCGATCGCCACCTTGTTGTCGTCGTTGTAAGCGAGGTTCCACAGCGCCCACGCGGCCCACTCCTTCTGCACCTCCATGCCGCCGCGAGCCAGCGCCACCAGCGGCGCGATGCCGCCCGCCTTTGCGATCGCCAGCCACCCTGTTGTCATCGGAGTTGCACGCGAGGCTCCTCAGCTCCAACGCGGCCTCCTCCTTCTGCTTGTCCCCTCCGCTGCGCAGCTGCTCAACCCACTTCCGCACCTCTGAAGGAATGGAGGTGTCCGCAGCCGCGCACAACGCGTTCGCAGCCGCTTGCAACGACCCGTGTCGCTCAAGCAACTCGATTGCCCGCTCACGCATTTCGGCCCCGAGCTCGATCAATCGGCTCACATCGCGCTCGCGCTGCGCCTCCTTCTCCGCCTTCTCCCTCGCGACCTGCAGCTGCGCCGCCTCCTTCACCGCCTTCTCCCTCGCTACCTGCAGCCGCGCCATCTTGGCCTGAAGCTCCTCCCCGTCGTCGTCGGCCGGCATTCCGATGGGCACCTCGTTGACGGGCTGCCCCAAAGGCACGTCCCCTCTACGGCCAAAATCGAGCAGCGGGTCCAGGCTCTCCGTCTGCTTGCACTGCACGATCACGAGGCCGCTGCTGGCGTTATACTGCGACACGACCTCAAAGCAGACATTTGGGGGGAGCAGCACCTCGCACTCTTGCGGGTACAAGGAGAAGGCAGAGACGTCGCGGCCAACCGGCTCGGTGAGCTCCAGGTGGATCATGGTGCGTGGTCCCGCGGTGGCCTCCTCCGTGTCGAGGAAAACCTGCATCACGTCCACCTTTGTCGCCGTGCTGGAGAAGGCCGACCACTGCAGCTCGTCTCCCTCCTCAAGCACACATCCGGCCATGCCACGGTAGACCATCCGCGCCTTGCTCGGCGGCAGCTTGCGCAGCGCGTGTAGCAGCAGCCACACAAAGTCTCGCCACGGCCTCACCGCCTGCCGGTTCTTCTCCCTCAGCGCAGCATTCATCACGTAGTATGGCGATCGCTCGCGAGGCATGTCCTCCATCGTGTACAGAACGACCGCCGCGCACTCGTCGCGAGTCAGAGACGGGAACTGGGCCTGAATGCTGCCTGCCTTCCACGCCATTTTCGCGAGCTGGCCTTGCTCGGCTCAACCTTTGGCAGCTTTCCGCTCAGCGATGCAAGGGCGTCGGCAAAAGAAGGGAGGAGGAGATCGGCGGGGAACATGCCGCCCAGCGGGCCGCGCATGTCCCCATCCTCGAGCGCCGCGTCGAGAACCCTGCTCGCGAGGCCAGACATGCCGAAGCGGGTGGAGAGGGACGTAAGTTGCACCGCCTTGGAAACGTGACAAAAAGGAATTTACCTATCTAAAAAGTGAGTGCAGAAGATTTGGGGGGGGGGGGGTACGAGTTGGCGGGACGAGGGCGGCGAATTTGGCACAGAGCTCAGAGCCGACCAGTCGGAGTGCCGTGGCACTGCGTCCGCTGCCGCTGGCTGCAGCTGGCTGCCGCCGGCTGCCGCTGGCTGCCGGGCGCCCGCCGCAAATGGACGACGAGGACTACGTGGTGGCGGCGGCCGCGGGGGCCGCTGGCACACGAGGCGCTCGCCGCCTCCGCCGCGACGCGGTGAGGCACAGAGCATGGAGAGCCGAGCGCATCGGCGCATCGGGCCATCGCGTTGCTGTCAGGGCCTCGGCGACGGAGAGCGGGGCGGAGGAGGACTTGGCGAGGGGCACGGGATGCCGGCCGGGGATGGCGATGAACGACGGCAACGACTTGACTGACACGGACAGCCACTGGCACGAGCTGCCGCCGCTGCAGATGGGCGACCTGTGCATCGCTATGGAAGAGCTGCTGGGGGATGCTGGCGAGACGGGCGGTGCGCGTGTGGTGACCGAGGGCGACTTTGAGGCGCTCTGCCGGATGGAGGTGACGTTCAAGCGGAAGAAGGGCGAGTACTTCGCGTGCTACGAGTTTGGCGGCGTGGAAGGGAGGAAACCTTCCCGTTTGAAGAGTGCGGGCGCTGCCGGCCTGCCCGCACAGCGCCAGTGCAGCACGGAGTGCCAGCGGGCACACAGGGAAGGGTGTGATTCGGGCGGCTGCTGTCTCGGCTCCGAGGCGAGGCTCCGCCTCCAAGGTGGCCGCCTCGAAGGCGAGCAGTCTGCCCACCGGCGCACGAGGTCGGTTGGTGTCATCAGTGCCGGTGCGGGAGCTGGTGCCGGTTCGTGTGATGGTGCGAGTGCGCCGCGCCGTCGCGCTTGGTGTCGTCAGGCGTTGCGAGGGAAAAGGTTTGGGTGTGCGAGTAGTTGTAGTGTGGTAGAGTGGTAGTTTGTTTGGCGTTTTCTTCCTTTCCTCGAGCCCATTGACTACTGTTTCGCGCGCTTACCTTTCCTTTTGATTCCCCTTCTCTCTTCTACCCTTGATTTCTTGTGTGTGCCCCTTCTCCCCTTCCTGTTTTTCTTTTTATTTTATCTTGTCCCTTACTCTTCCTTCTTCCTTTTTCTCTCCTCCACTTTCTTTTGTTCCCCTTCTCCC